AATTGTAAACAGAATAGGTAATTTACAAAGACAAATTGAGCCTACAGGTCATTTTCTCCGTGTGTGTCATCTTCTTATTGTGACTGTTTTACTCGAACAAAAGGTATTTGTGCCAAATTGCATTCCTTAGATAGTAACAAAAATGGGCCCACGAGGCAAATAAAAATCACGCGATAACATTGTAACCTAGTGGAAATACGTGGAGCAATAATTCTAAAATTATATTTGTTAATTTCCTAGCAATGCTATACAATTAGAAGTTGTAATTCATTGCTATTTCAACTGACATGGCTTACTTATCGTATTATTAAATTGCTAATTACAATTGCTATTCTAGGAAGAAGAAACTATCTAAAGTGAACGCCGCGGACGAATGGAACTTACATTGACAAGTCACCGGAACAGACACATTTGCACATAGTTAATCGATCAATACAAATAATAGCGTAAGCGAAAATATTGTACATTTCGAAGACAGCCATTATTAGTATTTTGTTCCGTATAGACACTATTATTGTAACGTATCGATATGATATGAAAAAATCAGACGTTTTCAACTTCATATGCAATTATATCATATATTTTTATATTCACCGACTATTATCTATAATATTGGGTAACATTCAATTCTTTTGTATATTTAAATGTAATTATAATTCAAAACTTAATACTGTTATTTTGTTTACACTTAACATGCACTAACTCTATATGACATAATGAACACGAATATCATCTACAATATGATGGTATAACTTGTTTATTGCAATACCATTTGCATATCTACTGTATAATCTTAATATTAAACGGAGAGGCTCGCATAATAACCAGAGATCAACACATGCAAACACCCAATATGTTTTAATCGGATTGTAACAAATACGTCTCCACACGATGCGTCTCAAAAATATTTACATTGCTTTTCAACTTTATAATCACTATGATATGTATTGTAATATTTTGTTAATAAAACACAATATTCCGCTTTTTGCATTAGTTTTTCTTTGAGCAAGTTAACGATGTTTTGCGTATTACCATTATATTTAGCTTAGTAAGTAATATTTCAGCCGGATTGGAAAGTGAACATATTTTATTTTCATATGATCGCAGATTTGGGATTACAGTGGCTATGTACAATACCGTTATATGTTCGGATTTGCACTCTCAAAAAAGAAACGTAAATATCACTTTACTGATTTATTTCTCATTGAGCCGCCAACAGTTTCTGATTAAATATAATGTATATCCAATCCTAGCATTAATGGTATGTGGCGATGAGTATATAATAAAGTAGACATACAATTATCAAACGTAGATCTTTTAATAACATAAATCGTAAAAGGAAATCTACAAGTTCAAGAAACCAACTGC